GACGTCAGTGTCTTCCTTGCTCACTTTCTACTTCATTTTCTGAGGCAAGTCTCTTGCTGAACCCAGAGTTCCCCTGATTCAGAGAGTCCAGCTAGCTTGTTCTGGGGATCCCTTTCCCATCCACCAATTGTTGGAGTTATAAGCAGCCACTGTGCTGCCTTTTCCCTTAGGTTTTGGAGGTTCACACTCCAGTCTTCACACCTGTGTGGCCAGTGCCTTATCCATTGAGCCATCTCACAGCCCTTCAGCATCTCTTCTATAGCAGAAATAGTCTCACTCTTTGCATCTTTAGTTGACGAAGCCTTGCCTACCAGGTTAAACATGTCAGAGAGGCAAAAAGACAGAGATATGCTCAGGATCAGATCCTCATACATGCTAACCATGTACACTATTCCTGAACTATGCCCCATCCTGAACCATGTCTTAACAACTGAAAATAATGATAAAATAATCCAACTGATACCTGTTTTAAAAAATAATTATCGGGACTGGGGAGATGGCTCAGCAGTTAAGAGCACTGACTGCTCTTCCAGAGGTCCTGAATTCAATTCCCAGGAACCACATGGTGGCTCACAACCATCTGTAATGGGATCCGATGCCCTCTTCTGTGTCTGAAGACAGCTACAGTGCACTCATATACATAAAATAAATAAATTTAAAAAATAAAAAAATAAAAAATAATTATCTGTTTTTACTTACTTATATTTATTTTATGATCATTGGTGTTTTGCCTGTATGTATGTCTATGTGAATGTGTCAGAATCCCTGGAACTAAAATTACAGATATTTGTAAGCTGCCATGTAGGTGCTGGGGATTGAACCTTGGTCATTTGGAAGAGCAGCCAGTGATTTTAACCACTGAGCCATCTCTCCAGCCCAATTATCTTTATTTTTTATTATGTATGAGTTTTTCACTGTGTGTGTGTGTGTGTGTGTGTGTGTGTGTGTGTGTGTGTGTGTGCAGTATCCTTGGTGGTAAGAGGAGAAAGTCAGATGCCCTAGAACTAGAGTTATGGGTGTAAGCTGCTACCTGGGTACCAGAAACCAAACATAAGTCCTCAAGAAGAGCCACTAGTGCTCTTAGCTCCTGAGCCATCCCTCCAGCCCATCAGGAGATACCTTTGAATGATAGATAATGGTACCAAAACACAGTTAGAGGGAAGAAAGTAGTTCTACCGTTCTGCAGCATGGTAGGATAACTGTAGTCTACAATAGCTTATGAGAAAAAGGGCTGAATGTTCTCAATAAACAGGAATGAAAAATTCAAGAAGATGAAAATGCTATCACCAGACTACCTCATGACACACTGCATGTATGTACTGAAGTGTAATAACGCACCTCATAAGTGAGTACAAACATTACCTTTCTTTTTTTTTTAAAAGAATGCTTTGGGTCAGGAGGTGTGTGGCTCAGTGACAGAGCATGTCCCTAACATCGATGGGACGTGTACCAGTACACGTGAGGTCCTGGGTTCCATCCCCAGCCACAAACCAAATAACAGCAAAAAGCCTAACTTTTTGAAAATGTTAAAGAAAAACATTAAAGTAGTTTTTGATTTTTTTTAAATAGGACATTAGGCCTTTCAGAACCAGAGGGAATCAGAGGAAAGTTAACCTGCAGAACAGAAGACAAAACCACAGTAATTAGATTTTAAAACAGAGAGCAAAGATGACTAGTTTTATAAAATACCTGTGTCAAAATAGTTTATATGAATATTTTAAACTGACCCAACAAGAAAAAATAATGGAAATGTAATCTGGGCATGGCAGCATATGCTTTTTGTCCCAGCACTTGGGAGGCAGAGGCAGTAGATCTCTGTGTGTTCAAGCCTGGTTGGTATACATTAGAAGTTCCAGGACAACCAAGGCTTCATAGAGAGACCCTGACTCAAAAAATATAATTTGAAACATTAAAAAATGCTTCAGATGTGAAGGGAAAAAGGGGTTCAGTAGAGTTCTCATCTTGGTAACATTTTGTGTGAAGGATGAAACCATCTGCAATAGAGAAGAATGAATAAAAGGGGGTTTGGGGCTGGAGAGATGGCTCAGGGGTTAACAGCATTGACTGCTCTTCCAGAGGTTCTGAGCTCAATTCCCAGCAACCACAGAGTGGCTTACCACCTGTAATGGGATTAGATGTCTTCTCCTGGTATGTCTGAAGACAGCTACAGAGTACTCATATAAATAAATAAATAAATCTTAAGAAAGGTGGGGTGGTTTCACCAGCAAGGAGAATCTGTCACCCTCTGAGCTCTGTTTCCTTAGCCCCTGCATGCCTTCAGGCTTCCTTTGATCCTTCATACACACTCTGCTTCTTCCTTTCCTGGGCTCCTCTATGCTCTCTGGGGCTCAAGGTGTTTTTGAAGTTACCTTGAGAAAGCAGGAGGGCCAGGAAAAGGAAGTGAAAGGAGATCTGACTTCTCTCCCCACCTTTCTCCCTCAGTTCATGTCTGTCTTCCTCTCCAGTATTGACTCTGATCCACAAAACCTCTATGTTAAAAGTTAGTGAGGTAGGGATGGGGGGGACTAGGAATCAAATGTTCAAAGACCATCTCATACTTTGAGGATGAGAAGACTGCCAACAGAGACCATTAAATCCTTACTGTATGTGGAGTAGATCTTTCTACTTAATAACAGTGTGGTTAACTCAAGCTAGTGGATTTGACTTCTGCTAATTACAAGCTCAGTTCTCTACTCCCAAATTCATTTTTCCCTATGCAAACACTCTGCCAGCAGGCCTCCATGTTATTTGCATTCATAATAAATATATTTAGATGTTTATCATTTCATGCCTTGGGAAGTATTTTTGCATCTCTCAGCCTTCATTTCTCTTGAGATTTTACTCTTCCCAGTATACCATACTAGTTTTGGCATTCCTGGGTATATTACTTAGGATTAGTATTGCTGTGATGAAACACCATAACCAAAAGCAACTTGGTGAGGAAAGGATTTATTTCACTCGCAGTTCCACATAACAATTCATCTTCGAATGCAATGACAGCAGGAACTCAATCAAGGCAGGGATTTGGAGGCAGGAGATGATGCAGAGGCCGTGGAGGAGTGATTCCTGGCTTGCTCATTATGGACACCTCAGTCTGCGTTTTTTTATAGCACCCAGGACCACCAGCCCAAGGATGGCAACACCCATAATAGGCTAGGCCCTCCCCCATCGATCACAAATTAAGAAAATGCCCTACAGCCAGATCTTATGGAGGCATTTTCTCAATTGAGGTTCCCTCCTCTTTCAGATAACTTTAGCTTGTGTCAAACTGACATAAAACCAGCCAGCACATTGTTCCACCCTGTTTGGACATGTCCTGTGGCTCAGATTCTGTCTTTCAAAGCCCTCCTCACCATCAATCCAGCTGACATTTCTACCCTCACATTCTTTTAGCCTCCCACTCAACTGTACTTCTGGTTAGCTGTTGAGCACAACTTGTACCTACAGGACCTACCTAAGAAGGCTACATTCACCCTTCAAGGACAGCACTTATGTCTCTCCCGAACATAGTCATCCACAACGTTCTGCTTGCTAAGCGTCTCCCACTCTTCATCATGATCACTGGGCAACTACCACCTTCTACCGTTAGAAGGAGCAAAGGCTCACCTCTAACCTACGAGGAGGCAATCTGGGTCAGATAGTTGATGCCTGATATGACGTGCAGTTTCTTCTGAGAAGTACCAAACATTTCTGATAAGAGAGTTGAGCAACTTCCTGATATGCCGAGACTCAGTTTTTATACAGTTGACCCACCAACCGCCTGTCCTGAAGGAACATTAGTGACCCTTAGACAAATGTTTCTTAAATTAATCTATTGGGGTCATCTAGACGACCTTTTCGTTCTTAACATGGAAGAAGTATTTGACACGGACTTAGTGGAAACTACCTATTTCCAGCAAGTTTGAAACAAAACTTGGACTTGTGCTCACAAGCATTTGTCTGAAATGGCTTGAAGTGTATGCTTGTTATATATTCATGTCCGCGTGTCTTAATGCGTCATAGTTGAATCGTATGTGTTATAAAATCAGTGATGATTTGAAAAATATATTGGAAGTAGCCTGTCTCCAGAGCCCACAGGGTAGTACCTTTATCCTAAGATCCTCAGACTCTTAAGAGTTCAAAGTGCCTGTGACACTCCTGCCAATGGTATAGATTTACTGATTATATGCTGGCGTGCATTCTTCCCTCAAGGAAGGAAATTAAGATCTCAACAGACCTTATTTGCAAAACAAAGTGATCAGCAACTAGGCTAGAGGTAAAAAGTCATATCAATAGAGGATGACAAGACAGCTCGGTGACACTACGAGAGAATACAAAGGGTTCTGAAAGGCCTCGTGGGAGAAGTTATACTCAAAATCTTCCATTGCAACTACAAACACATCTGGGCAATAGTCCGTCTTCTGCATTTGTAGATCCCACACCCATGGAGCAATGAGCCGGGCATCGGAATTATTCAAAAGCACTCCGAATGGACGGAACCAACACAGATGCTTATCATCTCTTCCTCTAAGCATACATCACAGCCTCGAGCTTAGCTACACTTCTAAGAGGGCTCTAGGGTCAGGCCAATTTGGATGAAATGCCTGTCTTTGGCTAATGCTGCCCTTCCACCCCTTTGCATGACCTTGCTTCTCGTCTTTGTTGAGTCTTCTGGGGAAGACTTCCCCTAGAGGACTCAGTTTACAAAACTCTAAGTGAGACCACTGCCAAGAAGTGCTTGCTCACCCCTCCTGCTATGGCAGGGAATCCCCCTTTCCTTGTACAGGCAAAGCACAAAAAAGGACTCATAAGTGAAGCCCGATCCTTCTCACCAAACACTGCCCACACCTCCCAGTAATTGAACTTGAAAAAAAAAAAAAAACCTGGTTTGAAAAATTACCGCAAACTATATTGTCATCAAAAAACACTTCCTATATGAGATCACAGAACAGAGTAGGCACAACTTCCTGCTGAGCAGATCAGCCTAATGCTTAAATAGAGCAACTCCTGGCTGTCATTGACATTGTATAAAAGCCAAGATGACAGCCTGAGAGGACGGAGCTCTTGTTCGGGCACTCTCCCAGAAGGATGCAGAAAAGGGGCTGACCCAACATACTGAAGAGAATTCCCTCCAGTTCCCTCCTCCATCCTGATTCCACGTGCCTCAAAGATGGAACCACGTTTACTGATGTTGGGGTTTCTCTCATTCACCATAGTTCCCAGCTGGCGGGCAGGTAAGGGGCCAGGGTCTGCCCTGGGAATCTTGGGAAGACTAATGGAATCTTGGAAAGACTAATGTAAGCCTACATCTCCTCAGCTACACAACCAGAGGGAGAAATTAGGTGGAAAGTTCTGAAGAGGGAGTTGAATCATGGGTTCTACCTCTTGTCAGTGGTCCACTAGGACCTCTTATTGTGCCTCAGTGGTCCCTAATCTATCAACCTTTCTTAAATAGTAGGAAGGAATTTTTCATTTATAGTCCTTTTTAAGTTTCATCCCCAGGGGTGGTTTGGTTTTGCTGTCTTGGGAAGTTTCTTGTAAATGTCATTTTATGGCAATTTCAGAAAACATGAATATACTCATTTTCAGAGCATGACTTTCCCCTGTTCCTCTGGGTGTAGCTTCTGTGTGTGTACATTGTGGACATGTATACAAACTATGAATTCCATCATCATGGATTTTTGTCAGGTATAATTTTAAGAAATAAAACCCACCAACAACTCAGACATCAAACAGCTCTTCTTAATTGAGGGTGGATTTCCTAATACTGTTTTTCTTTCCTTGTTAATATAGAAAAAGAAGTAAGGTTTGTGGAAATCATATATTTCAGATCCATTAGATAGATGATAGGTAGATAGATAATAGATATAGAAATAGATGATAGATAGATAGATAGATAGATAGATAGATAGATAGATAGATAGAATAGATAGAATAGATAGGTAGGTAGATAGGTAAGTATGTAGGTAGATAGACAGGCAGGCAGACAGACAGACAGACAGACAGACAGAGAGATGGGAGTGTCTCTCTATGTAGTCTTGGGTTACCTGGAATATGCCATGTAAACTAGTTTGGCCTCAAACTCATAAACATCCACCTGCTTCTGTGCATACCACCACAGAAGGCTAAAATATGTATATTTTAAAGCCAACAATTGCATATTCTTAATTTCTAGAAATTTATTTTTAAATGACCCCAGAAAAAGATGTATTAAGAAGAGTAAAATTATGACCTATCCACAAAGCTTGGTTGCTGACTTGAGGGCAAGCAATGTGTTGGGCCACTTAGGACCATCTTGGCTTTGGAGTTAAGATGTTTATGATTTCAGGAGGCTTTTAATGTGATTTCTCCCTCAACATCATCTTTCCCTCAATGGTGTCTTTGCCAGGTTAGTTCAAGTCAGAACAACCAAGTCTTTATACTACACATATTCTGTCTCTGAGGAAAGCCTTTGAAGTAAACTTGTGTTATGAGCTGTGGCTGATTTATACAGGGCTCATTTACTTCATTTTGCAAAACATCTGTCCACTACTTCTTATGCATATGTATATGGAGAAATGACAATGATACAGGTTGGAGTGTGCTTAGAGCTACAGGGGTGTGGGGCTGTCAGAGAAGGCTTCATAAAGATAGTGTATCTTTGGAGCCTTGAAGACTGGTAAATTTCTATAAGGGAAGATTTTAGATGAGAAAGCACATGGATCAAGACATAGAAGTGCCTGAAGAGTTAATAAGTGTATTCTCTAAGTATGGGGCTATTGCATAAAGAACAGAAAGATAGGAATGGGGCTAAAGGCATTAAAGCTCTGGACAGGAAGCTCAATCTTTTTCTTTTCCTGTGTGGTTGGGAATAAAAATCCAAGGCCTTAAGCACACTAAGCAAGCACTCCAACCCTGGGCTGCATTCCTAGCCCACAACTTAAAATGCTTTGGTTGCATTTGGTAGGCAACAGAAAACTACTTGAAAATGTCAGGGAATGCCATTAATAGAGTACATTTGATGAACCAGATGTATACATTTTATTACAACTTCTAACCACTTTACAGTGTGAGTGTCACGAATCAGTAGAAGTAACCCCAAAATCAGAATATCAGTGTTGCAAGGCTCACATCCCATTTGTCTTTTCTATTGGAAACAAGGCCAGAGGTGACTCTGGCTGAGAATAGAAAGAGATCAGGTGCAAGGAGGTGTGTCTAGAGGCAACTTGGTTCTCAGTGGGAAAGAGAAAGAAATATGGCCAGGCTTATTGATGTCAGCAAGTAGCCCAGAAACTACCCCAGGGCAAGAGATAATCTCATTTCAGCTTTCTTTATCCTCCAGGAAGAATCCAGTTTAAGCAATTAATGGGGTTGAAGAGATGGCTCGTTATTGGTTTAGAGCACTCATTACTCTTGCAAAGAGCTGAGACCCCAGGACTCAAGATATTGGCTCAGCAGAGCCATCTGTAACTACAGTTCCAGGGATTCTGAGAACCTCTTCTGGTCTCCACGGGCACTACACATGACAAATAGACATAGGTCTGGGCTAAATACCTCTACATACAAAGATAAATAAATGTTAAATTTTTTAAAAGTCTAAAAGAATAAATAAGTCCTTCTATTCCTCGGGGGCAAGAGGTCTTTAATGAAATAAGACAGTCAACAGATACAATTTCTAGCTGATTCATAAGGCAGATTTTCATTCTGAAAATTTCCAAAGCCACTATTTAAAGTTGTGATGTGGTACAAGGGATATATTAGTCAACCTGGGTGTTTTTAGTCTCTATATCATTTGGCCTTGGGATGTGGTTAAAAGAGAATTCTCCCTGATGTTGCCAACACAGCACCCGCTAACTGAAGCCACCTTTCTTAGAACTGTGGAAATTCTGAGCTGCCTCTCGATCATTTTTCATTCTAGGAATTCTGTAATCAAATCCTTATCCCTCTAGAGTCAAAAGACAGAAGGTGTGGAAACATATTAAGGTGATATGCTTGTCTAATTATCCCTTCTGGTAAAGGCTACTGCCCACACTAGAATTTCCCGTCTTCAGCTCTGTTATTAAAATGCACGCTTCACAGTGCTCCTTCAGTTTCTCCACAGTGTTATAGCTACTGTGGCTTTGTTCATCATCCAAAATAGACCTTGGAGACATGGGGCTTTGCTAAGCACTGGAAATACTTAATAAAGCAGTCATGACATTTGTTTCTAAGGGTTCTTAATAGACAGCTTGATAGGTAGCCCATGTCTCTGCTCCATGTAGCTTTGAACATTGAAAAAGCAATAATTTATTTCATCCACCTATGTGTCAACTGACTATGCTCTGAAAGAACATCTTCTTAATGCTCAACACCTCCATCACTCGGTCCCTCCCAAAGGCAAGGATTTTCGTGTTCATGTATGTACATGTGTGTTCATGTGGATATGTATGTAGATGAATGTGTAAATGGAGACCAAAAGTCAACTTAGGTATTAATCCTCAGGTGCCATTCACGTGAGTTTGTTTTCTTATTGTTTGGGGGTTTTATTGTTGTTGTCTAGAGATGGGGTTTCTTGCTGGTCTGGTACTGCATGGTTAGGCTCAGCTGGTTGGTCAGAGAGTTTCAAGAATCTGCCTATTTCTGCTTTCCTAGGACTGATTTTGTGTGTGTGTGTGTGTGTGTGTGTGTGTGTGTGTGTGTCTCAACTCCCATGTGGGTGGTGGGAAGCGAACCTGGGTCCTCTGCCAAAGTGACAAGTGCTCTTAACCTCTGAGCTATCTTTCCAGCCATATACTGATTATGTGAGTACTAGGGATCAGAACTGAGGTCCCCATACTTATGCAACAAGCACTTTACCTAAGGAGCCATCCCCCCAGCCCTGGACATACACACACACATACACACACACACACACACACACACACAACTTTGAGAATTCTAGATACTTTTGTGTAATTTCTTGTGGACGCCATTCCTGTGGTAGCAATGAACACCATGAGAATAGGTCACACCCCAACACAGTGGCTGTTCATGTTAACTCTGTTTTCCTTATTGTCCAATGGTGGCCATGCATTTTACAGATAGAGATTGAATTCCCTTAAGAAATAGAGCATGCCACCAGTGGTCAGTGAGGAATAGAGTTAGGAGGCAAATGAACTTTTAAAGACATGTAGTATGGAACAAGATACCTAGTGATGTTAGAAAAAACAAAGGCAAGACCTAGCAAGTCACAGCTCTCAGCAAATTTCTCTCTGTAACAGGAGAAGTTTGTTGCAGAGATCTTGAAATCCCCTTCCAATTTCATCATTATACATCAAGAATTCTGGGGAAAAAAAAGACACACACACACACACACACACACAAATCCTTTTTATGCTGAGATACTTTTGGAAACAAGAAAAGTTCCCAACCAAAGACATGCCTGGTACCATATGGATTGAAAGGTCACCCAGTATCAGCAGACCAAACCCTGATAGCTGGGTTCTAGGCTATTTCCCACTCTCAAGAGGGCAATGCTCTGCACTGCAGTATGGTTATTGATTCTATACTACTCGGGTTGGAGGTGTGGGGTAAAAACACCACTGTGTTTTGGTGAAGTCTTCTCTTGTTTGTTTGCTTGCTATGGGGATTTCTTTCTTCAAACTATGTCTATGTTTTACAAAAGGAGTGGGAATGTATCTTTCTTCTCTTTATCTTGAGCCATTCCCTCTGAGGGAAAAAAAAGGGAGCCTTTATTCAGTGCATTACTTCAAAAAGTTATAAACCCCAGACCTGAGATGCCTCTGTGGTTAGAGTGTATACTATTTTTGTGGAGTTTGGTTCCTAGTACCCATGTTGGGAGTCTTATAACTGCCTATTTGGATCTGGTGACCTCTTCTGGCCTGGAGATATATACACACAAACATAAATGAAGACAATTCTTTTTTAAAATATTATAAGTCCTTTATCTCTAAATGGGTTTCAAATAAATGCTGGACTTGAACTCAGGCCTCTCTTTTGTTGTTGTTGTTCCTTGATGTCCTAGAACTCACTCTGTAGACCAGGCTGGCCACCACCTCAGAGATCCACCTGTCTCTGTCTCCTGAGTGCTGGGATGAAAGGCGTGCATCACTTCTGGCCGGTAAACCCAGGCCTCTTGATGACTTGATTATAATATCTCTTGTATGCCTTTATCCTGATTCTCAGAAGTGATATCTTTTTACCCATGCGGCCATCCATTCATGCGTTAGAATAATGCATTATAGGGATAGAAAAAGGTACAGCCTTTGTTCTGCAA